TTTTCTCCATAGAAATGAATGGAGAGTCCCCACAACGATATAATTAGAAACCTGTGTGTGTGTGTGTATATATATATATATACACACACACACATATATATATATACATATACACACAAATATATCAGCACATTAAAAAGTTCTCAAACAGAGATCCTTTCCTTTCTACAGTTTATTTCCTGAATGACAATAGTAAGACATGGATACATGCTGTCCTTTTGTACCTGTAGGGCTGTATATGAAACACAAACATCAGCAGTATAAGGTACGCTGAGATTAAAACGTTGCAATTCATCACTCTTGTTGTCAGCTATCATTTTTCCCTAAAGAATGAATTTTTTTTCATGTCTCCATTTTTCAGGAGCTTCAAACTTGAAGCATTCAATCTAAAACATTGCTGAGTTTGACCGTAACGCAATAGCATTCAGGAGTTCCTCCAAATATCGCGGCGCCGATGCAGAATCCTGAATTAAACACGATCTGGCGTTAAATTCAAAGCGTGCATCTGAGTTTTTTTTTTTTTTTTTAACTTTTCTATTTACCGTGTCCTCCTGACCCCTTGTAAGAAAAGCAGCAGAGTAAGACTCGAGGAGTAACATGCCCATACATCAGATATCACAGGGACATTTGTAAGACACAGAGGAAGCCTGCTGGCTGGGGCTGAGGTTGGTTTTGGGCCTGGCAGGCGCTGATAGGCCTCTGAGCAGCAGGCCGGATGCAGAGTGCCGGAGATCAGCTGCGTCGTACAAGCTTAGCCTGCTGGAAATTTCGCCGCTGGTATCGACTGCAACTAATTGATGTGATTCACTAACCAGTATATACACTGGTGGGCAGTGCAGATGCCGCGGATCGGGAATTGTATCTGTATAACAACGTATGTGACGAATGTCGATTCTTGAGAATGAAGGGAGCGGATGACATGTCTTAACGCCCATTCCGATATACCCAGTGAATCCACCTGGAAAGTCACACTGGGATTTCTCTGGGTTTTTATCAAAAGTGACAACAGTCACTTATTTCCCAGCAACAGCGGGGGGTCAAAGCGCGCTCGGTTCATTAGCATATCAACGGCACCCCTCTCAGTATTAATCGCTGTTCCGCCACGTCATTTATTAATGACAAATGACTGTTGGCGGGGGGGGGGGGTGCGGTTTCAGAGTGATCCTCAACCACCTCAGTTATTCAGAGCTACATAATAGCTACTTTCTTCTGGTTAGGGCCTTCTGATGGTTGTATTTATCATATTAGCCCGTGGCGCTTTGTATTATGTACCAACAGACACACCGGTACATCACATCTTCTGCAAAGTCTATTCTCACAAAGACTCGATGAAGGTCTGGTAGAATATGATTGCGTAACTGTTGCGCTGATTACATCGTGCCTCGTTTTATTCATTGTGAAAGTGAGAATGAATACCAAGTCATTTATTTTGGGCTCATTGTTTTCAATTTGCGAGCAACTAAAGACGGAAATGCGTTTAACATTTCAATTATTCCAGCTCAGACCTTTCGTGCGTTGGACGTTATGAATTATACAGAAATCAGCATGAAGACATCATTCTCATGTCGTTTTCATCAAATTGTGCTTATTCTCCCATCCATGGCAGAAAGGCTTCAACAATAGTGATCAAATCCACTCAATTTGTCGATGTAGAATAAAGCTAATCAAATCACAGCCCTCAAGATCCAAGCATTGCTGATTTTCCAGCCTTCCCTTACCTGTGAGCCAGGTGTGAAACCTCTGTGGCCAATCAGAATCAGTTATCATTAAACTTACTACTCGGGAGAACTGAAAACAAGGCCTGGATTTGGAATCGAGGGCCAGATTTGAAGAAACCTCATGCAGAGCTTTGAAATTTTTAGAGATGCACTCATTTGGCCTGTATCACAGAGAGACACAGACCAAACACGTTTGGTTTATTAAACACTTTGAGGAGCCCCACAATCCGGGTGCTAGGAACAAGGCTGATGTCATAGTCAATTGTGGATGTTCCATCTCATGGGAGCCCAGGTAACCGCGGTGAGCAGGTATTTCTGTCACTTATACAAAGCCAGGCAATAAAAATCATCATAGCGGTAAACTTTGTGGAGCTTTAGTGAGCCATGAGCTCTGAGTTTGCACAAAGTGCATTATCATCTAAGGTGACTGTGGGGGAAAAGGCATGACTCTGCAGAAAACAACACACTTAGAGAGGAAGAGAAAAAATGAGGCCATTTAGACACTTCTGTCCCCCATACAGGCTGTCACTCTTACAGATGTTGTTTCTGGAATGTTCTCACTGGAGATCCCCATCTCATTAGTCTGCTCGCAGTGGCCAGGCTCTTTAGTTCTCGTGCACCATTTCAGTCCCTCGGACACTAAACGCTCCATCCGTGATGCAGTCCCGTCACACCGCGGCAGGTGAGGCTTAACACGTCTCTGTCGTGCTCCTGGGTGAGTCGCATTCCGCGGGACGCAAACCGCTCAGCTTCTCCCCGTTATTCGATCTGCCACCAGAGGATGGATTTCACAATGCACCTTAAATTGTTAAGCCTCACCTCTCCCAAGACCTGACTTAAATGCATTTCATGTTTGCAGGACGGCTCATTTTTACGCCCATCGCGTGACGACATCCAATATGTGTCTTGAAATACCTTATGCAGGTGTCCAGGATGACTTAATGCCTGTTAAATGCATTACATGATTAATGTACATCTGCTATATGTCGTTATACATCCCTTATAAGAACTGGACATGGGGTTGGAAGATGGATGGATGTACGGACGGATGGACAGACAGATGGATTTCAGTGCCATGCTATGTTCTGTTTTCTTATCTATTGTCATATGATGCTGGACTTATGATTTGCATATATAGCCACAATCCACTGTACATGGTGAAAATATTCACTTCATTTTAAGACACTAAATAGCAATAAAAAAAAGCATAATTTGTATGCCAAGAATGTTCTGCTCGCTAAAATGGATGTTAGCAGTAAATATGCGTTACTGTTAGGCTTTGCACACTCTATCAGACGTTCTTATTAAAAGAAGCACACACCTAAGCAGATTATGTGCACAACTCCTAGACAGAGATTCTCTGAGGTTTTAAGATGATTAGGCAAGGAATACGGTGACTATACACGCAAACAGGCCCACAAAACAGTCGCCTCAAAGTACATCAAATCTCAGGCATCATCTTACAAAAGGAACGATTATTTACCAAAACAAGGCTCACAAAAACACTCAGAATTCCAAACTCTTTGTGTGTGTTTTTCATCTGCTCCAGAAACATCTGCTTAAATCTATGTTTTTCAGGTTCTGTTTTCATGCTACTGACTCTGACATGGTGACATTTGTCCTGCTTATTGTCACCTCCACAGAACATGCTGGAACACCACAAAAGGGAAGGCAGGCTGTCAGGCAGCCTCAACAGGCAGTTGAGCTTTTCCTTTTCCGGAACTTTTACTCTTGTTCTGGATATATAATGTTTTGTTTTGTTGTTTTTTTTTTAATTCGATGGAAGCAATTTTTCTTGCTTGCCTGACAGCCCAAAGGGCACCTGAAAAGGAGGCTGCGTGAAAATACAGACGGAGACAGAGTCAAGAAATGTTCAGTGAGGTGAATTGGTGTGTGACTGCCCTGTGACCGACTGGCGTCCCGTCCAGGGGGTACCCTGCCGTGTTCTCCCTGGGAGAAGTGGTGATGAATGATGGATGGATGAATTTAGAGGAAAAGCCCAGCATAAGAGCCCACGTTTGATGAAAGTTTGCAAAATGTATTTGTCTTGAATTATCAATTATTAGCCTAGGGTGTAGCATTTAAGTTATTTATGTAGCTGTGTGAAACTATAAAGTGCACGCCACACATCATTATATATAAAAATGTTAATTAGCAGGGAAAACCTACGTAGGTAATTATCTTGATCTACAGTACCTTTGATTAAAGCATTGTAACCGAGTCCTGGAAATGAACTGAGAAGCACATGGGCAGATTCTTTAAATGTGTGAAATGAACCACAGGGGTTTGTCTGATGTGACAAAGTCGGTATATTTTAAAAGCATTCAGCTGCTGGCGCTGCTCTCTCCACGAGTCGGGCCTAAGCTTCCCTAACCTACAGTGCAAGAGATCCATACAGATATTCAGAAATGCCAGTCTGCTGCTTACAGTTTGAACTCAAGGGGGGCATATTTCCGTTAACCCATGTGCAGTGGTTTTTCAGCCAGTCAACTTTATAGCTATGTTTCAACACTTACCTGATCACACCTGATCACCCGATATGCAAATGGTAGGCTCAGAACCAATCGCATCTAGAATTCCCAATGAGTCATAAACAAAAGGCATTGTGGGAATTGAAGTACTACTATGACCTCAGTAGAGGTCTATCATACCATCCATCCATCCCCTACACTGACTCTTTTCAAACAAATTGGCATTATAAAAATTTATAAGGTATTTATTTTTACCTATTCAATGCTTTTTAAAAGACATTTAATTTAAAATGCCTGCGAATGGACTCATGCGATTCAGTCTACTGACACAAGCAGGAGAAAAAAACCAAGTAAACAGAACGGCATGGTACTCATAGTTTAAGGCCGGCATTATGGGAGATCACAAGCCAACTGAGAGCGATTGATGGCAGCCGCTGTATAATTAGCATCATCCTAGTTGTCTCCAAGGCCAACGTTTGCTGTGTCTACCACGTAAAATAAAAACCATTCAAACACCATATACCCATGGAAATTCCCACGTTTATAGTGAAATGTGTCAGTGCTGAAAATCTCATCGGCACACATCAGTGTAATGGTGCAAGGTGACCAAGCCCACTTAACGTTAAAAAACTTCTGCAAAGAAAACAAGAAGAATTAATCAACAATTGCTTTACGATTTATTTTACAATTAGGAAAAAGGAAAAAAAAAGGTCTGAGCGAGCCAATGTTTTTTTTCTTACAATATTAATCATAAAACATTGAAATGTATAATCCATTGTGCATTGCCCCCACCCCCCACCCCCACCCCACATAGAATCATGCATCAAAACAGATGCACGCATATTTAAATGCATTTCTGTAAACCAGGCTTGAGGACCTACTTTTTATTGGAAACAAAAAGGACATCTTGTGGCTCTATAGTATATATTTATATACATCGTTTGTTTTCTTTTCTATATATAAAATGACAATATAAAAGGTCAGGAATGCACACAGTACAAAGGGTGCTGAGCTGTTGCAAATGGCAAGATATGTCAGATGTAGTTTTAGACAATGCGATTGATCATTTATATATTTATATATTTATATATATTTATGTATATAATAATGATTCTCAATTTTGATTTTACAGGTTGAAACTGAAGCAGCACACTATAGAAAGATAAATGTGTACCAAAGCATATATTTGCAAATTACTATAAAGGGATAATTTACAGTGAAATTAAAATGACATATATTAAAAACAAAACTTGCATACTAGTCCTTCTTGAAGTCACTGTACTGAGCCAAAATGCATATTATCCTTTTCTTTCTACAATGTTAATGTGTCTTTTTCATAATATAGTACACATAAAAGCTCAAAACTGAATGGAATTGAAATGTAACAGAATACCAATAAATTCAGTCAAGTCTGAAGCTAAAATTAACAATAATCATTACAAGCGATCATCTGAATTGAAGCGATTCGCATTGAACAAAGGCTTTTTACAAAATAAAACATTACACTTCTTAAAGTGCAGAAATGCTACTTCAGTCTTCATGAAAAAGGCTCACCCAAGCTCTTCCTGTGTACAGCTCATTTTAGAGTCTTCACATCACTTATTTTACACATCTCTCCATGTTTGCCTTGGAAACTGTTATTTTTGAAGAGCATGAAAAAAGAAAAATGAGTGTGAAATTCACAAATTACATGCACGATTTGGACAAAACATCATATAAATACATTACAAAGTAAGTGTTAGAAATCAAAGGAGAATGAAAAAAAAATGAAAGAGGATGTGTGGTCCAGTTAGGCAGTTTCACAACCAAAGTAAGACTGATTTCAGAGGCTCAGCTCGGGCCCAGTGCAGTACTGTGATTTAGTGCAACGATTCAATCAGTCATACGCAGCCACTCCACCCCAGTTCTTAGAGTTTCTCCAGCTTTTCTAGTTCAGTGACATAGATCACATGGTCCTCCGGGGACTTGCCGTGGGTTTTGCTGAGATGCAGTTTGACTGCGTGCTTGCTGACAAAAGTCCGATTGCACAGCTTGCACTGGAATATGGAGCCACTGTCATCCTCGGTCAGGCCAAGGACACCAAAGGACTTGTCGCTTATGACTTTAGAAACCGCCTGTTGCTCCCTAATGAGGTCTATGGACAGTTTGGAGAGGTCCTTCAGGCTGAACCCTAAATGTGATTCTAAGTGGTTAATGTAGGTGGAGGGAGTTCTGAACTGCGATGCACAGTCGTTGCACAGGAATACCGGCTGACCGGAGTCAATATTCTTCAGGAACTTGGTCCCACCTGTCCGCCTCAGCTGATACTTTACATTAGCCAGCCAATGAGAAATAGTTGTCATGGATAGGCCTGTGAATTTGCAGATGTGCACTCTCTCCTGAGGTCCCAGGTCAGTCATGATGAACTTGCCCTCTGGGGTCTCCCGCAGGCTGGAGGCAAACTGGGCTTGCAAGATGAGGAGGTGTTGAGGGTTCCAGTTCGACTGTCTACCTTTCCTCTTCTGGACGGGGGACAGCTCGTCTAGACCATCCTCAAAGGTGCTGCCTTCAGCGTCTGACCTCTCAGAGACGGAGGAGGGGGTGGAGGACTTTGGCGTCAGGCGGCCAGTAAGGTTCTTTACCATATCGGAGATGTCCATCAGTGCATTCTCCCTCAAAGGCGATGAAATGGATTCAGAGACACTTGAGAGAATTGGCCTGCTGCTGCTCCCGTTGTTGCTATTGCTGCTGTTGATCGTGGGTGCTGTGGAGGAACTGTTGATAGTTGTACTGTTGCTGCTTTTGGACTTTGTCAAGTCCATGGGCTGCTCATCGTTCTCATAATAATATCGGTTAATGGATTCTGTTGGCTTAACCTGAGTTGGATTATAGATTGGCTTTTCCGTCATGCTGTTGCTGATCTTGTACAACATTGCCAGAGGGTCTAAGAGGGGGCTGACAGGTTTTAACGCCTTGCCTAAGTGAGTGTTCATTATGGACTGCAAGGCGCTGAGAGGGTTGACAAAAGGCTGTTCTGGTGAATGGTCTGTGATGATCCCCAAGGTGTTACAACCATTGCTTACTGAGGATTTGAGTCCATCGATGCCATTCTTCAGAGCATTATCAACCGGACTATCCTTGGGCTCTCGCTTGCTGACGGGTTCCAGTTCAATGTTAGCACTGCCATTCCTAGTCGGCTTGACGCTGAGGTCATCAGGCTTGGGTGACTCCTTCTTCTCCTTCACGATTGGCAGGGGAGACTTTGCAGAGACAGGCTTGCATTTGTCGGAGGTCTTGTCTTCCTTCTTCACTGAGATTTTCCCTGTGACCTTTTCAACCAACTCCTCCATGGCTGAGACATTGCTTCTGTGGTGGGGTGGAGGGGAAGGACTGTCAGGGGTGTGGATGGCAGTACTCAGGTCAGATGACAGAGATTTCATACTGCTGTTGAAGGAAGGCTGCACCTGGACACTCTGCACGACTGGCAGGGAGGATTTCACAGAGCCCTGGAGCTGATAAGCCGCATGGATGCTGGGATATCCACCCCAAGTAGGTGTGCCGGTCTGGGCCTTGCTGATTGCACTCGACACGGTGTTTTCAAGGGACTTCAGTATATCAATTCCTCCTTTGGGAGTCTCCTCCAAATCTTCCTCTCTGAGATACTTATAAGAAGGGTTTGTCTCAGTCTTCTCGCTAGGGTCCTCTTTTTCCTCTTTGATCACTTTTTCAGGTATACATACCTCCATTTTCTCTTCTTCTGCTTCCTTCTTGTCCTCAGAACCAGAGGAGTGTATGGGAGAATCTGGCTGGGACTTAATACTAGAGATGGGTAGTCTGGTTGTGGTGGGTGGCAGAGGGATGGACTGTATCTTTTCCTCTATCACCGGGTCGAAAACCAGTTGCTTTCCCTTCTTTGAAGCAGAGTTAGTCACTTTGAGAAAATGTCCAGTGACCATCATATGGGCAGTCAGCTGCTGCAGTGTGTCATGTGAGCTTCCACACTCCATACACTTCAGTATCTGGGCTTTACGTGCCTCAAACTGCCAGGTATAACTGGCCCCGTTCTGATAGCCGTAGCGATTATTAGCAGTCACATAAGGGTTTGCCACCTTGGGGTCTTTTGTAGTGTCACCTAATGGGATTCCGGGTGTGCTGCTGATAGATTCTGGGGAGCAGGGGGAAACCAATTCCTGAAAGGCTCGCTTTTTGGTAGAGGGAACCAGCTTGGAGGCCAGCGCTGGCATGGGTTCTTTGAGAGGCACTTTCTGGTAGTGTTTTGTTTTGATCATGTGGACGCTCAGGTCTTGCAGAGACTCAAACGAGTGGCCACAGTACATGCACTTCAGCACCTTCTGGGCATCCTCCTTCCCCTCCATCTCCATCAGTGACCGCTTCCTAGGCTTGGACCATTTCTTGCCATGGTCGTCCTCTTTGTCCTTGTTGTCGTCTCGGTAGTGGCCGGTCTCATTCATGTGGACGGTGAGACCCACCAGTGTGTCATAGGCTGCACTACAGTCCTTGCAGCGAAACTTGCTGGCCCCGGTGAACACTGGGCCATACAGCTTGTTATTCTGCCGGTATAGCTGCACGGTGCTGAAGAGGCTTGGCTCAGGGAGAAGGTGGTAAGGGGTATGCTGCAGGGTTTTGGCCAGAGCAGCTTGGTGCCAGTCATAGGTCACGCCCCCACCATTGCTCGAGCTGCTGTTGCCTCCAATGCTGCTGCTGCTGCTGGTAGAGGTGGAGGTGCTCGTGTTGGTGTGGACATTGGTGGTGGGGCCACTGCTACTGCTGATGGCACCGGCAGTGCTGCTCTCGACAAGGCTGTTGATGATGTTGCTGCTCCCATTACGGGTGCTTGTTGCCCCTCCCCCGCCCCCGGTGGCCTGCTTGCTTTTCATAATGTCCATGGTGATGCTGGACCAGGTGCTGTCTGAGATCAGGTTTGCATAGACGGCTTTCATCTGCGCCAGGCTGTCCTGCAGTGTGAGGTCACTGTCCGTAACCCCAGCATCCTCCTTGTCCTGACCCTCCTTGGAGGAGGTGCTTCTGAAGTCTGCCAGCTGATCACTGGTGTCGCTGAGTGGCGAGCCGTACCCCGCATCCGGGTTCGTGGTGTTACTGAGGGGGGAGTTCTGGTAGCTGGGCTGCTCCTTGCCCTCTTCCTCCTCGTTGCAGAGGAACTCGCCATCCTGGCCATCTAGGGACAGGCCGTCATCCTGCAGGTGCTCGTCATCGATCTTGGCTGCCTTGAGCTCATCCTCAGGCACGTAAGCTGAAACATACAAAAGAAATGCAGGGAATAGGTGAGAAAAGCAAAAAATAAAACAGAAAGACATGATTTCGTTGGGATACGGACCTCTGCTTAGTGTATGTGTACATGTGTACACATGTGGGATGTGAGGAGACTAACAGTAATGGTCTGTTTGTGCAGTTAATGATTCTAAAGAATTGTTTGTCAATAGTCCTGGCAGGGGGACACAGGATTGCAATTATAAAGCAGCAAATATCCATATGTTGACTATGACAGATAGCTTTGTTTCCCATTCTGGTGAAGGGTCCTATTGGACTTCACAGCTCAGCAAGGGCAGAGGAGACCCAGAGCATGCTCCCATCAAACACAACGTTGTGGGTAAGAGAAACCGTTTTTGCCATAGACCAAAAATGTTGTTTATGATGTTAACTTCCTTTAGTTATTTCCATGGGAACGGGATAATTCTGATAATACAAACAGCACTGCAGCATTTGTGCACAATAGAGGGCACATTCTCACAATGCAAGGAAAGGTGTCAAAAACAATCACATTGTCTACGGTGTTTGGCGTCTGGGTGGGAGAAATGCAGGAGGCAGACATGCAACAGCACACCATGGATGCAACTCCTCAAAAGAGTTAAACATCTGAAATGAATTATGAATTACCCCTCAACCAAAACGCCATACAATATTAATGCTAAGTGTTTCTTATCGGGCTTTTCACCTGCCTACCCCTCCCCCCCCCTCCCCCCAGGCGTGGGCACGGACATGTTCTCGAAGTCATACGTGTACTGATGCAATTATCTGGTCAGCTGCTCTGCATGCATGCAGATGCCCGCCATTAAATTGCAAGTGATGCAAGTGAGATGCAAGAGAACGAAAAGACTAGAGAAAGGGATGGCTTCGCGATATCCCCCCCCCAGGCTCGGCCACCGAAGAGACACTGTGGGGCCAAGCAAAATGCCTCGTTATTCCAATAACACCAAGTGTCCACAGCGTTTATTCCTATTTATTATTTACTTATAATGCTGACCAGTCAAATTAGGTTTCAAATACAGGGAATTAAGCTTGCATTCAAGGGAAAGTATTTCCCTTTTGGGTGCCTTTTTTTATTGAACAAAGAAGAGAGGTTTTCTGGAAAACCAGGAACGGTGCACAGGAAGGGCACACAGATTCAAACTCCTGTTGTGAATCTTGCCGAACCACGCAAACCGCCCCATTCTTCACGGTACCCGGCCACCATGTCACAGCCCTTCCCCTCGGTCGGCCCGAAAGGCCCGGCAAATAATCAGCGGGGAAGCGGGATGCCACAGCCCCACGGGGGAAGTTCTCCCGGTGCGTCGAGCCGAAACTTAAGATGAGATTACGTGTCATGCTGTCACGGTCCATGCTGCGCTAAACCTTGACACGTCAGACGATCGACTGTCGACGGGACGAAGTGAGAGGATCCGAGGAGTGCCCCTCCCGAAGACTGTCTGTGATCTGCGTTCGCTAGCCCCTCCTGTCCTGCTATCCCGTCTGCCAGGGCCAGCCATTTTTGTCTAACGTCACACGTGGCCTCCTCTCTCCTCACTGACCAAAAAAAACGGTTACGAACCCGTTTCAGAAAAAGACTTTATCATCGTTTTAAAAATGACCAGCACTGCCTGTTAAGCAAGGGCCTTTTTTTTTTTTTTTTTTATCAAACAACAATAATAATAATTAGCTAGGCTTTCGTTTTAGAGGAGCATTTTAATGAGAAGCCAGAGGCGTTCTGTCAATTCCCCACAACACTCACTCCGGATTTCATTAATTCCCCCGATCGGAAACGCCTCACTGCTAAAGTCGACCCATACAGGGTTAAATTCTAAATCCAGTAAGACCCACCCCATGCTTCCGGAAGTTTCTCGGGGAGATGCACTAGATCCGCTGACACAACAGCGCCGGGGAGAGGGAAGCAATAAAACCGGACCACACAACGCCTTCTGAGCAGAACTACAGAGCTGGTGCCTCAGATCTTATTGCTCGCAGAAATACAATCAGATGGTACAATTAAACACTGATGGAGGGGGGGGGGGAATCACATACCAGCAGACTGAATTTAATACATGTTAATTATTATAGTAACACTACCTGCCAGGAGGGGCAAAAACCACCTACGAAAAAATGTAAATTGTCCCAATTCTGGCGAAAGAAAGGGAGGAGCTTGGGCAGTCAGCCTTAAAAGAGGAACGAGGGCTCGGCCCGGGGTCCGGAGATCCTGCCGCAGCCTCTGCTGGCCAAACAGCTGCCCTGTCACCTTCAAACGGCATGGAGAGCCGCCAGCGCTAATCTGAGGGGACGTTCCACCACGCCTCCACGGGGCCGCAGAGGAAACGGTCAGCCAGTGCTGCAGGGGGGGCGTGCCGGGACCGCGGTGCACGTGCGGGCTTATGGGTCTGTACCTCCCCGCCTCCTCCTCCCCCCCTCCCCCCCCATCGAAACCAGCCCCAAACACATAGGCCTCTTCTTCCAGCACCAGACTGACAATTCTGCCCTTACGCAAATAGATAAGGCGGCAAACTGCTGCCATTTAACCATGTGAGCCTTCTGTTCTTTGTTTAATATTTCATATTATTTTAAAACTGGATTTTTGCATAAATACAAACCAGTTTTAGTCCTGTCATCTTCCTTAATCTTAGAGGTCAGAAAGGACTTCGGCAGGAACTGAAATTGGCAAGCATCTGTTGAAAATTGAATATTTGAAATAATAATTATTGACTGATAACTTTATTTCTGCAATAGTATTTTATTGTTCTTTATAGTGTGTCAATCTGCAGCACTTGATGTGTAGGGGTAAGATAGAGGGTATGTGTTTATCTATACATTTATATATAACAATAAAAGATACAGGGTAATAAAGCTCTCTTTGGAAACGTGCTGCGCTGTAAAAGTGAAAAATAAAGCGGCTGGCAGCAGCGGAGTGGTGAAGGGGAGAGAGCAGCTCTGCGTCTCACGTGGAGCCAGTGGCTGTGGCCCCTCTGTGCACAGAGAGGGGCCCCTACTCTGGAGGGACACTCAAAGCTGAGACAAACACGTGTAGAACTAAAGGGCACCGGCCAGCGAATCCTATCCTGTCTTCCGGAAGCGTCTCCCGTCGTTATCCCCATCTCATACCGAGCGGCACTAAACTGGGCTGATATTTCCATTTTTAATTACAGATTGTTGTGACCCAGCCCCTTTAAAGGCTAAATCTGACCCCCCTCTCCAACAGCAGAGGGACAAAGGGCCACCAGTTCCACCTGCCCATCCCTCAGTTATCAGCTTGGCAGCCCAGGGCCGTCCCATCCGAAGCGACAAAGCCAGGACCTCGGACCTTCTCTCACATGTGGGGTGAGACTTTCGCTGTGGTGCACGTTTCAGAATTATTCCAATCATAAGATAATTTCTAAGGCCCAGTATATGAAAACACGCCCCATACGTAGAGACCTACAGGAAAAAATACATATTCAAACAAAAAAACACCTTTTTCTTTGAATATAGCATCTCCTGGATATTTCTTAGGAAAGTCTCTCCTTCAGCGTCCGCCCCTGCCCCCCCCCTCCTTATTTATGACTACAGTAGCTGCCAGTTGTTAAATCAATAAAAAATATCTGTCAGACCCATATTGCTTCACCATTTGGCTGGTGTCAGACTTAAATAAACCAGATCAGAGAAGCGGTGAGAGATGGAGCCTGAGCTGGATGAGAGCGGACGAGCCTGCTGCCGCTGACCTGCGCCTCACTTATTTATTTATTTGTCTTTTTTCCGAAGGGGCAATCAGAGCAGTCATTTGCGGCGCTAATGTCCAATTCAGGCGGCCTTCAGTCTCCTGATTTAGGTGCTGAGAGCGGCCGTGGAGCGGCGCAGGCCGCGGAGCCGGGGATAAGCGGCCGTTTTAATGGGAAACTGGCAGTCTTATTTCTCTTCGAGATTCGGTTTGTCACCGCGCCGCCATTACATGCCACTCAGCTTTGATGTCTTCGGACAGGGTTGATCAAAAGATGTCATTTGACCTACACGGCGTGGCAGAAACTTGGAGGAGGCATTGCGGAGGGATACTCCGGCTGTAAATAAAATGACATTATTACTTCCTCTGTCCCATCATGTAGAAAAGCCAATTATGGTAATGCGGAGCATGTCAGAGGCAAACGCGCAGAGTGTTTCTGGGGCGGCTAATGCAGGGCCTTGCCGCTCCTGCCTGCTTACCGGGGCTGCGGGGGTGGGGGGGGGGGGGGGGGGGGGAGGAGAGTGCAGTCGTAGAAGGTTTAGCAGCCCCCCGGTTTGGAGTCTGACCAGCAACACTTCACAGTACAGGAAGAGGGTAACAAATTTTTTTTTTTTTAAATAAAAGATTACTAAAAGATTTCAGAGGACGTTCGATGTATCTGCCGCTTTCGATGCTTCCGTCTTTCAGCTTTTCTTGTCAGAGCCATGCTACCTGCTTTCCGGTATCTTTTCTGACCTCTGACCCCTGTCATGTGACTTGCGGCTCGCGGCACGTCCCATCGCTGCCGCAGCCGAGGGTCGTCTCGGCGTCTCGCGCGGCCCCTGTCCGTCTTGTCTTGTGGTGAGACCGATTTGCATTTCGCGCGACGCGGCCACGCGATCCTCCCAAATTAATACCGGCTGTACCTCCCCAATCATCCCAGTAAAATAAATAAATAAGCAAATAAATCAGAAGTCTACTCAACCCACTTCAGCTCCCTAGTGGAATAATCTGCCATATGGCACAATACCTCCCAGGCAGAGAAAGGCATTCCTGTTCGCAATACAAATTCATCTTTGAGGCTTAAAATCTTCCATTAATACAAAACCGCTTCTCTGTGCTCAAACCAGGGGGGGCACCGCATGAATACATCTATGCCGGTAGACGGAGCGCATTACCACGGCAACACACCAATACAACAGCCTAGGCCCACAGTGCTGAAAAAAATGAATTAAAAAGTCAGCACACACTGGCACAGGCAGCCTGAACACAGGCAGTGAGGCACCGTTACTGAACACTACTGTACACAGGCAGCT